ACTGACATTGTCAATTTTTGTTGTTCGGGGCTATCCTTGTTATTGTTTAAATTTTGGGGGTAATAATTGTTAAACTAATGAAAATGGTGTTTCTTCTCATTCATTGTTAGTAATTTCAATGGGAACTTTTGCTTATTTCATTAAAATTCAGACCAAATAGGAAAAGCACTCATGTAAATAACTAACTTATTGTGAGTAGTGTGGTTCTGCTGAAAAATGCATCTGCAGTATGTAGCTCTAGCTCTATGAGTTTGTGTGGATGACCACAATCCTTGACTCCACCACTGGTTTAGATGCATGCTCCAAGTTGTGCAATCGTAAACTTTTGCATTTCTGAATTAGCAGGGTGCCCTCAGGTCTTGAAGTTTTAAAAAGTGTTGAAATCAATTCCCTCCCAAAAAGACAATATTTTTTCCTCCTTACTGACAGTAAGTGATCAGGGGGAAGCTTGTTGACTCCTACTGGACAAGTGTTGATTTTAGCAAAAGCTTAAATGAACAGATTATTAATTTATTTTTTAAATGATCTATTTGTGCTGGTTGCCTGGATCCAGGCCATCTCTCACACAGAGGCACTAAACACTGTTCATGTCACTGTGCTGTTATGGTTCTATTAAGGATAGTTTTCTGTTTGGTAGTCCGGCTTGGCCAGACCATTCTGACGGACATAATAGTCTGGCTGCAGCTCGCTGTCATTCTGCTGGAGAGGGAAAACGCTCTGGTTTGTTTGAACTTCTTTAAACCAATCACAGTCATTGTAGATGGGGCTTCGGTGTTCCCTCAGAATAGTGACAACTGGAACTGTTGTGGTGCCACATTTGCCCATCATGAGGCGATCACTATGTTAAATGAATAATCCACCACAAAAAACAAGCAGAGCTGCCTGACTGCACGATTACGTCCTGTGTCAATCTCAACTGTTGGTAATTAATCAGTAATTGATATGTGGAGCAAATACACATTCACAGTAAAAATGAAAATCCTGATGTCAAATTTAGAAGACAAACTCGGGCACAAAACTGAAATGTGTGTTGATGTTTAACATATTTATTTAAATGTAGTTACAGTTGATTGGCTGTTACTGGTAAAGTTTAACCAATCAGATAGGGCTGTGGGCGGGACATTGCTGACACCACAGTGTAAGAGAGCTGTCTGCATCGCAGTTACAGTAACACATTTTTAAACAAGTTTTATTGAGAATCATTCTGAAAAACATAACGATACCAACAACTACAAAACGCTGAATATCAGATCGAATAAACGGTCGATCCCTAGTTAGACTTCTGTGCACTCACAATAATGAATCATCATGATTGAGATGAAAAAGTTAGTCCATTTTCTGCCTTCAGGTCCAAGTTGTGTTTATTAATTACTATATCATCAGAAATAATTGTTATATATCGCTGAAAACAAACAAAAAAAAAAAACAGACAATTGCTGGGCCATTGCTGCCAACGTGACTGTGAAACAGAAAATTAAAACTCTGGAAAAGGCAAACATTTAATATGATGCAGGCACCACAAATCTGAAATGTCAGTTTGTTTAAATGGTTGCATTTTCATCTGAACCAAGTGTTAAAACTGTCCCTTCTGTGTTTTAGTCCTACAAGATCATCAACTTTGCCCCCACCCTGCTTCAGATCATCGTGTCGGAGCAGGTGGAGTTTCCTGTTCGCCAGGCAGGTAAGATGCTGACCAGTTGGAGTCGTTATGTTTGATTGTTGTTGGACAACTTCCATCTCCATTCAGCAGTTCTACAGATTATTCTGACCTGACTTTGGCTGAGGTCCCTGCTCTAATTTTAATACAGGAACCGTCCTTAAGGTCATTTTGGAGGTTTTTGCCAGAATCGAGACACGGATGCAAAATCTGCTCAGTCTGGCTGAGTTGTGTTTTGTAGGGTCTTGTTTTACTGCTGCAGCTCTCAGTGTCAGTGTATCCTAAACCTGAGTGGATCTGAAGGAAGCTGAGTGCTATAATCTCTGGTCACGTGATGTATAACCATAACTGCTGGAGAAAGAAGGTTGTGAGTTGTCTCTGAGCCATATAAATGAATTGTTTTGGTGGAATCAGTTGGCTACGTCTAGTCTTTACTTGGTTTGGTCTATTAAACGACCTTAAAGCTGGGTTGGCAGCATTTTGTGGCACCACTGGTCAGAAATTTGATACGAACCTTTGAGCATAATGTAATTCAGGTTGCACGAAAGGAAACCAGAGTTGTGCACCTCCTCCTTTAGGCTTTAGAGAATCTAGCTCATGATGGGAGACGTCAGCCAATCACAGGGCCTTTCACTCAGAGCAGGTAGAAGAGTAATGAGGAGCTGCAGAGTGAGCGTCAGGGCTAGGATGTGGCGGCACAACGGGCTCAACAGAGGAGCTTTCTTCACAAGAGTGGGCTTTGAGTCCCGTGTGACACAATGAATGTTGACTTCTGGCGAGAGAGGTGCTCAGGACAGAGAGAAGGTTTACCTTCAAAATCATTTTTTATATTTTTTAAGATACATTTTACAGATTTCTGTCCAGTGAGTGTGACTGTGCAGAAACTAACGCAGACTGGAGTTCAAAGCTGAAGTTTATTTTTTACCACTAACCCCGGCCTTTATGTCTATTTTTGTGCGTCAGTTACATCATGAGCTGCTGCCTCATTACTGGCTGTGTGTAATGCAAATCCAAAGTAACAATGTGTGAGTCCATGTCTCATTGGCTTTGCTGTCTGTCTCTGGCTCTCAGCCCCAACTCACTGGTTCCTACTTTGAACTTTAAGAACACATCACAGATGTACGGTTTCATATAGAAAAAAGTTCATCATTCAAGCAAGAGGAAATGTGCAAATCGTTGGGGAATATTTTCGGACCAATCCACATTTGTTGATGTAGTTAATATTTAGGGTAACAAAATGTTGTGTGCAAGATTTGGTCAGACCTAACTACAGAAGTACAATACATCAGGCTTTACACAGTTCAGTTGTTCGTAGATATCCTGTGTCGGTTTGGATCTGTGCATTGGATTTAATGACAATAAGAACATCTAGAATATCAGCAGAATGATCCTTTAAATCCACATGTACATATTAAACAAATGAATGCAGTGTAGAATGATGTGATTTGTGTCTGTGTGTGTAGCGGCCATCTACCTTAAGAACATGGTCAGTCAGTACTGGCAGGACCGGGAGCCATCTGTGGGTGAGGTCGTCTTTCCCTTCAACATCCACGAAAATGACCGGCAGCAGATCAGAGACCACATCGTGGAGGGAATCATCCGCTGTCCAGAGTCCATACGGTACCCACACACACAGTGTCACTCAGGGCACCTTTTTTCAGTTCCTCAAAGCTTACATTTCAACATACTTTCCTTTAAAGCTTTTAAACTCCCCAGTGGGCCCCAGAATGATCCAGTCACAGCCGCATGTTTTTTGTTTTTTTTCCGTCTGCAGCGCTCAGCTGACCATGTGTCTGCGAGCCATCATCAAGCATGACTTCCCCGGCCGCTGGACCGCCATAGTGGACAAGATTGGCATGTACCTGCAGTCTCAGAACAGTGGCAGCTGGTACGGCAGCCTGCTGGCTCTCTACCAGCTGGTCAAAACATACGAGTAAGTAGCCTTCATGTTGGTGTGTTCCACCTCACTGCTCTGAACATCCCTCCTGGGGAGCTATCTCCCTCACATCAGGACTACAGGTTGTATAGCAGCCACCTGCTGCTGATGGAGTTCAATAATCAGAGGTTTTGTAATCAAATATGAAAAGTATTGAAACTGGTGGAAAACTGTCATATTAGGCCTCAGTCAGGTCACATTTACATGAACAGTTTTGTCTTCTGAAGGAGGACACAACAGCAACCGTCTAAAGTTTGTAGGAAGAACTTTGACGTTTAATTAATGCACATATAAACTAGTAGTTTACATGTGGTACAAGCTCAGAGACCAGAGGTCACAAGCAGGAAGCCATCGTGATGGAGCAGCTCTGCTCAAGCACAGGGCTGGGATGAGCACTCACGGCTGCTCAGGAGTTGTCGAGTTGATTTTTGAGACTTTGGAGGCGGGACAGTGACTCAGAACTCCTTTGATTGGTTATGTGAGTAATATTGAGTGGTGATTGCAACGACTGACTCACTTTGTAATACTGTTCTTTTAGTTGTCTGTTGAATGTGGTGGGTGGGTCCTGTAGGTCCCCACAGCTGCTTAAAGCTACCTGCTTTAAGGTAAAGAGAAAAATCATGAGTTAACATGTCAACGTGTAGTTTTTCACCAGATACTAAACCACACGTGATAAATGTCAGCACTGACTGACATCATGAAGGCTGGTTTATACAAACAGTCCAGAGAGCAGTGGATGTGTATTTAATTAAGTGCTGTACTTTTTGGGGTACTTGTTTACCATTTGTTGCTGCTTTATACTTCTACTCCACTACAGTTCAGAGGTAAACATTTTACTCTGCATTTTGAAGATGCATCTTGGTCAGTTGTGTGTGTGTGTGTGTGTGCTTCAGGTACAGGAAGGCAGATGAGCGAGAGCCGTTGCTTGCAGCCATGCAGATCTTCCTACCGAGGATTCAGCAGCTCATCAGCCAGCTGCTGGCCGATGCCACCATCTTCTCTGTCCTCATCCAAAAACAGATCCTCAAGATCTTCCACGCTCTCGTACAGGTGTGTATTTGTGTGTGTCTGTGTATGAACACACATTAAACAACAGAAACAACGACCGCAGCGTTCATGGAGCAGACCTGGAAGCAGATGGCGGCTGTGTTTGGAGCACTAGAAACATTCAGCCTGAATCATGCCCCATGCCCAGTGGTTTAGTTACTATTATTGGCTAGGCTGTAAGTATCCTTGTAAAAGCCAATAATGTAATAACAGCTGATAACGTAATAACTGGCCAATAACGTAATAAAAGTCCTGAACCGATAGCGTAATATCTTTTGGCCAATAACATAATAAGTTATTACGTGACGGGCCAAAAGTTATTACCTTATCAGTTCAGGACTTTTATTAAGTTATCGGCTGTTACTACGTTGTTGGCCTCTACAATCCTCACAGCTACACGGTGTTGGATCTTCAGGCTATGTGCCTCAGCACCCTGAGTTAATGTCTGTATGTCCAAGACTTCAGAAAGTCACCGCCTGCGTATCTGTGTACCAGGAGAAACTATAACCAGCAGTTTTCACTATGTTGTCTTATTTTACAGACCACACAAATAATTAATTGAAGGTAGAGTCAGCACTTCACTTCCAATCTCATGACCTTTAGTGAAATTCAGTGAACGTCTCCTCACTGTCCACTCGCTGTCTGTTCTGTGTGGGAACAGAAAAAAACATCCAGTCTTAGTACACTGCCTGGTTCTGTAAATGGGAAACAAACCACACAACACTGTTCCAGTGTGTCCTGTGCACAGGACAGGGGGAGAGGGAGGGAAAATGGGACGGCAACGGGGCAGTGGGAGTGAGGGGGTAAAGTAAGTAAGTAAATCTGACACCTAACCATCAATAACCTTTGTCCAGAATCACAGACTCCAGAATACTAGTTATCATGATGCTGATGAAGATGATAGAAGTAACTCATAAGCCTCACATACCCGGACCGTTCTGTACCCTGACAGCGTGGTGCTGAATGGTCTGCTGCACCTCATCATTCTGCTGTAGTTTCTTTAAACCAGGGGTGGGCAATCCTGGTCCTCGAGGGCCACAGTCCTGCATGTTTTAGATGTTTCCCTCTTCAAACACACCTGATTCAAATGATCAGGATCATTATCAGGCTTTTGCAGAGCTTGATGAGGAGCTGATCATTTGAATCAGGTGTGTTGGAAGAGGGAAACATCTAAAACATGGAGGACAGTAGCCCTCCAGGACCAGGATTGCCCACCTCTGGTTTAAACCAATGACAGTCATCTTGGGTGGGGCTAAAAACAAGACGCACTGAAGGTGTTCATTAAAAATAGTGACTGGGGAATTGTTTTGAACATTTGAATGCAACAAGGTGAGCAGTGTTCTTGAAATGAATAATTCACTGAATCAAACTAAGCAGGGCTGCCTTACTGCATGATCCTGTGCAGAACTTGAAATTGTCCAGCATGGAGGTTGCTGTCCGGAGGCTGTTGATGCTTTATGTAGTGAGATGGAAAACAGTAAGGCGTAGATGGTGGAAATGGAGGGGAAAGCTGTGTGAGGCCATCGGCAGGCTCATACCAGCGATGTACATCCGGTGAGTCAGACCAGCATTAACCTCCCTGTTGTCCTGCAGTACTCGCTGCCTCTCCAGCTCATCAACAACACAGTGATGACTCAGTGGATGGAGATCCTGCGAGCCATAATGGACCGAGACGTCCCTGCTGTAAGACTAAGACACACACACACCCACACACACACACAGTAAATATAAGAAATGTATCAGTTATATGCAACCTTTAGTTTACCTGGTAAATCCAAGTTAAGTCTCATTTTAAATGTGACGCGGCCAAAATAGAAAAATCCCATCAACATGAAACAAAGAACACGGTTTCAGCAAATGCACTGATAAGTACCACAAAATGCAAATGTAATGAAATGGCTTTCCCTTAAGAACAACCCACATCCAGAAAAAGTCCTTGCAATGTCAGGAAGTTTAAACACTCAGAGTCCAATTCTTGATACCCAACANAAATAGTGACTGGGGAATTGTTTTGAACATTTGAATGCAACAAGGTGAGCAGTGTTCTTGAAATGAATAATTCACTGAATCAAACTAAGCAGGGCTGCCTTACTGCATGATCCGGTGCAGAACTTGAAATTGTCCAGCATGGAGGTTGCTGTCCGGAGGCTGTTGATGCTTTATGTAGTGAGATGGAAAACAGCAAGGCGTAGATGGTGGAAATGGAGGGGAAAGCTGTGTGAGGCCATCGGCAGGCTCATACCAGCGATGTATATCCGGTGAGTCAGACCAGCATTAACCTCCCTGTTGTCCTGCAGTACTCGCTGCCTCTCCAGCTCATCAACAACACAGTGATGACTCAGTGGATGGAGATCCTGCGAGCCATAATGGACCGAGACGTCCCTGCTGTAAGACTAAGACACACACACACACACACACACACACACACACACACGCACACACACACACACACACAGTAAATATAAGAAATGTATCAGTTATATGCAACCTTTAGTTTACCTGGTAAATCCAAGTTAAGTCTCATTTTAAATGTGACGCGGCCAAAATAGAAAAATCCCATCAACATGAAACAAAGAACACGGTTTCAGCAAATGCACTGATAAGTACCACAAAATGCAAATGTAATGAAATGGCTTTCCCTTAAGAACAACCCACATCCAGAAAAAGTCCTTGCAATGTCAGGAAGTTTAAACACTCAGAGTCCAATTCTTGATACCCAACA